CAATTTAATGTGCACTATTTCTGGCAGTCTGCAAAGGCCCTTTATTGCCTCTTTACTCCATGTTGACTTTTTAGACTCTTGGGAAGGACGGAGAGGTTCAGGAGGTGCTGATGGAGGGGGAAAGCTCTTCCTCCCCTCCTTCAAAGAATCTCTTTAAGGGAAGATCTCCTCCTTCCAAACTTTGATCCAAAACACACTGCAGAAATAATCCAGTTTGAGACCACTTTAACTGCTCTGGCTAAACGCTGGGCAATTTTGGGAACTGTACTTTTGTGAGACATTGAGCCTTCTCTGTCAGAGAGCTCTGGTGCCACAATAAACTACAATTCCCAGGATTCCCTAGCATTGAACCAGGGCAGTTTAACCAGTCCCAAATTGGATAACTTCTGCAATGTGGGTTTGGACCTTTCTGACAGTCTGTTTTTGGCCCCTTCCAGAAGGAACCACGAAAGAGGGATGTTTCTGTATTTTTTTAAAATGGGATTTTATACAGCTCCTAGCACAGTGCTTGAGAGAAAGAAAATACCGAAGGTAAAGCGGGAAGGCTACACGGATCACTGTATTAGGCATCCTTATTAATATAGCTGGGAGAGGAAAGTCGCTTATCCCAAAGTGAAAAGGGATTTAACCATCTCTCGCCAAGATCCACCATTTTCGGCTCTACCGCTTCTGCAGAGATCTCCGTGCATCAGATCACTTCTAGTATGAATGGTAAAATGTAGCAAGGCTGGAGGCAAACAATATTCAACCCAACCACCCCCCAAAAAACATTCCCATCCTTAATACTGGCAGGTAGGTTTAGGGCTGATAAGGAAATGTCAGTTTTAGACGGGGATCTAGAATGCTAAACACTAAATCTGAATTTATAATTTGGGCGAGGGAAGGATTGTATCATATTCTAAGAGCCCGCTCTGGCATAGTGGTTTGAGTGTTGGGCTATGACTCCGGAGACCGGGGTTCAAATTCCCGAGTCTCACTGGGTGGCCTTGAGCAAGTCACACTCTCTCCGCTTCAGAGGATGGCCATGATAAACCCCTTCTGAAGAACTTGCCAAGAAAACGCCGTGATAGGGCCGCTTTAGGGTCGCCATAACGACGTGAAGGCACACAACAACAACAATAATCTGTAATACCAGACCTTCCTTTGAAGTGCCCCGTGTATCTCAGGGTACCTCAAGAGAAAAGGGTTGCAGACTGCCAGAAATAGTGCAAATTGAGTCCACTTTTAGGGTTAGGGTTAGGGTTAGGGAATCATGGGAATTGTATTTTATTGTGGCACCAGAGCTCTCTGACAGAGAAGGCTCAATGTCTCAGAAAAAAACCAATTCCCATTATTCCCTAGCACTAACCCTAACCCTAAAAGTGGACTCAATTTGCACTATTTCTGGCAGTCTGCAACCCCCCAAAGTTGCTGTGTGCCTTCAAGTCCTTTCTGACTTATGGCGACCCTAAAGCGACCCTAAAGGCCCTGGCTCAGTGTTAAGGAATCCTGGGAATTGTAGTTTATTGTGGTCTCTCCAAATCATCCCACGCGGAACGGTAAAGGTGGGACTAACGCACCCGCACTGCAGAATTAATCCGGTTTGGCACCGCTTTAACTGCCATGGCTCAATGCTATGAGGGTTGCAGTTTGTTGTGGCATCAGAGAACAAACTACACCCCCCAGAATTCCATAGCATCGAGCCATGGCAGTTAAAGCGGTGCCAAACCGGATTATTTAGGCAGTGCGGATGCAGTCTGGGTGCATCCAATCCCCTATCTCTTTGAACAGAAAGAAGGCCGGCTGCTGGGGTAGGAGAGAGTGAAGTGGGGGGCGCCTCTACTCGGAGACATAAGGTAAGCTCTTTCTCTCCTTCCACCTCGGTTTTCTCTCCATCTGGCTGCAATTTGGCCTCTCTCGGAGTGAGAGCGTGCGCCGGGGTGAAAGTGGAAATAAAACGGTCTGGCATTGCGATTTTATGAAGAAGAAGAGGAGGAGGAAGAAAATTGCCAGCAATTCCATTTAGGACGGTTAGCAGCGGGATGAATGCGCTTTCTCCCTCCCTTTCTCTCTCTTTGGGGGCGTGTGTTTCTCTCCTGGAAGACGGGCCCCGAAG